TCTCAAAAGAACTAAATTTCTAAAATTTATTTTGATTTACAGAAGATTATAAGTAAGGTACAAAGATTCGCTGCTTTGGTGGAATGTTTTTGAAGCCTTTGCTGAAGATGTTATGAGTGAGCTCTAACCCAGCATAACTGTCCAGATCTGCGTGTAGTAGGATTTCTGGGTAGGATGTGAAACCAGTACAAGTTTACAAACATGAGTCGAAGATGTGGTTGATTTGGAAAGGTAACATTAACATTATTAACTAGTTACCTCCGGCTTATCGTCAGGAGCCGTAAGCAAACGAATATTCTGTCCCGCAAACATTGGTAGATTAAGTTTATTGCGCCACTGTCATAGATACTGATTAGGTTCTATTGAGTCTAGTGGTATGTTTTGGTGTAACCTCTTTTTTTCTACTCTTTCTCTACTAGCCCAACGTTACAAACAAACCAGGCAACTTTAGCCACTGTATGTCGGATATCATCTCCCTGTAGCATATGAAACTGCTATGAAATCAACTGATGGTATAAATTGTAAGATATGGGTCAGTTATTGGTAGTCCAGAGATAGGAAGGATAAACAACCGAAGGAAGGAAATGAGGAAAAATAATGTCGAGAATTCATGAGTGAGGCGATAAATAGTTAAGAAGGCCAGGTGTTTGGATAAAATAAAAGTTTTTCACACTGTTAATCCATGAACGAGAAGGAACTCACAATAATACAGGGAGTGTGGGTTACTTATGATCGACAATAGTAGAGCTGCACTTAAAGGCTTTTCAGTTAATGTGCCGACTATAAATAAAACAAAAAGTGCAGTGAAAAATAGGAAGATAATGATGTGAATTTTAATATTAACTACTCCAGCATACGACTGTAATACACAATATCAGTACTTTACTTTCGTTGTATGATTCCACCAAGATATCTTGAGGTGTTAGACAATCTTGTCTTGTCTTCGTAAATACGGAATATATGAGGAAACAATGAAAATGTTGAGAAGCTTAGAACAAACCATTAATCACCTGACCAACTATTTTACCATTAAATTAAGAGTGGACGGCACACATCCCGTGACTGGACTTAACACTCCGTAGTTCATATTATCATTTTTTGTTCCTATGCATCTATTCCATTTGTAAACCGATTCTCGATAAATGGACTGTTCCAAAAAAATGTGCCTCCGCTTGAGTTGCTGACCAGCTGTTGTAATCGGTTTGTTGCGTGATGTGAGATAAGGGAAACATCACGAAGTTCGCACAAGTCCGACACCTGCAGCATTTGAAAAGTCCAACAAAACGTAGTGTATTTTGTTGTACTATCAATGATACTTGGATGAAAACACCCTGCTATCTGATACCTCTTCTATCGCGAACGTTGCCAAAAGGCATGTTAGCAGACAACATCGTTTCGAATAATCGCGGATTTAATGATAAACCAACCAATGTATAGAAATTCACACCGAGCCCTAGGCCAAATGAGTTAAACGAGTCTAAGGAGTAAAAACCAACCCCAAAGAGGTCTATGGGAAATAAAAACTCATGAAAGCAGGTTTATTCTGTACCCTGTCTTCTTAGCGGTGTCAGCCAAAAACGTCTAAGAAACCTGGTCGTAATGAGAATTCTATCTCCTGCAAAAAAGGTGACCTGACCATTTAAATAATCGTGAATGTCATAGGATGTCAACTGGGCGCGACGCAGCCATGGTCCTCACTACGTTGAAAGCTGATTAGTTGATACAAGCCATTAGAAGAAATTTACGAAACGTCACTAAACATATGCCATGTCCCGCGACAGTATTAGCGAAACCGTAGACTAATCACAGTGACAGGTCAGCCAGCTGTCATAGAACAAGGCGTTGAAAAAGTCGCGAGCTCGTAATCTGCGTCAAGCATGACATTGGGTAGATAAAGGATCCACTAAATCGGCTTACGCCTAAAGATATCCCTGGAGAAACCGTGTTTTCGTTCATAAAATAGGATGCTTAGTGTCTGACGAGAGAATTAAACGAGGCTACTAAATGCGGTAATAAAATCTTCCAATGAAAAGGAATTCATGATGCAGAATGGAAATAAACTGAAAGGATCAGTGCATTTGTAAGTTAATTCTTATCACTCGCAGACTACTTTAAAAAGAGAGACCGAAAAAGAACTAAAACTGAGTAGAAGGACTTGAGAACTAGATTTTCAGGTGGTCAGGCTTCGTCAGAGGTTAATGCTGAAAGCCACTTTGGATGACTTCATTTACGTAGTCTTCGGATCTGCCATACAAAATTCTAAGGCTTACTTAACAGCCAATCAGAGATAAGAGCACAGATATATGCGATCACCATCACAGAAATGTGTCTGACTGATACTATAAACAATCAGTTACTCCATTTTGAAAATTTAACAACTATGCCTGACAGAATCCGAAAGTACAAAGGAGAAACAGTAGTTCTAATCACTGGACGTACTATCCCCTTTATCGTTACCGAAAACATCCCTTGAAAGTGAGATTTATGAACTAGAATAAGAGCTTCCAATTGACTTGGTTTATCGCAGCTCAGACTGTGAGGTAAATGGGGCCTTGTTAAGCAGACTCCATAATTCATCTTTAGGTGGTTGACAATCACAGTGCATCTTCTGTAGACTGGGAAAATCTAAAGACTGTAATGTCAGAAAATCCTTTCGAACTAAGGTTAGCGGAGGCGGTTATTACTGTTACCATAGTGCGACGTGTAAAATAAGTTACTAAATACGATCAGAACTCCAAACGGTTACTAATAGATCTCAGTGACTCATTATGAGAATGATGTTTCAAACATCAACTATAAGCCACTCCTAGGTAACAGTGACCACTCAGTTCAAGTCACTGAATTCCATATCATGATCAACAACAGTGTGTTAGCTCAAGCCAGATCAAATATACAGGACTTCAAACACTGAGCACCCTCATTAGACTGGAGAACAGAATCAAAACCCCTCACTGAAAAAGCTGGAGAGGTATTCAGAAATTTTACATAGAGACTACTGCAGTGCTTATTCCTCGATATCTTTGGCCCGTTAAATAAACTTGATATCAATAAGTCTATAAGATATGATGAAATGCGTCTTAAATTATTTATGGAACTAGAAACTTTAATCTTGAATTCCTTAAGTACGTTTTAGTCTTCCTGTAACCCAAGGTAGATTACCGAAAAGACAGAGAGAACGTCATAGTAAGTAGCGTATTCGAAATTGACAAGAGACACAAACCTAGGAACTACGGAGTTGTTAGCCTAACTGGAGCGGTTATGAAAATTTTAGAATTAATTATTCGTAAGGAGCTGTTTAATCACTGAAATAATTTATCTGAGCAGTAGCACTGCTTTAGAACAGGCCGTTCATGTCTCACAAACCTTTTAGTAACTCGTGAATTTTGATGATTTCTTACATATCAACAACCGCTGATAGATGTAGTCTTCACTGAATTTGGATGCGCTTTTTACGTAGTCCATCACAATTGCTTTTTATCCAAATTAAGTGATATTGGAATAAGGGGCAGCTTACTTTTGTAGGTTAGTGATTTCACTAGTCGGATTCCATCAAATTGGGCGGATTAGCTCCGAATTGTCCAACGGGGACCAGCGTTGTTCTCCTGTATGTTTATGACCCTCCTGATCTTCTGTCTTCACGTTCTTGGTTGATTATATCCAGATGTGGAGAACGATAAAAATGAAGGTGATGACCTAAAACCTCGAAAAGGATTACAAAAATTATTCTAGCTGCTCAGAATTCAGAACCTGCTAGTAAAGGCTTCCAAGTGCGTCATCGTGCGTATCGGTCACCACGGTACAGATAAATACCAATATACTTTTTATCCAAACGCACTATGATCTAGATGTCATCATTATATATTCAGATAAAGAACTATTGTTCTTTGCGAGATTACCAAGTTAAATCTCGATAGATCCAGAAGTCAGAGAGAAGACTGATCTGGATGAAGAGGTATCGTGATATCGAAATGATATCAAGACCAGAATAAAGAAGTGGCTAACAGCCAGTGAGGAAAGAAAAGGAATGTGAATGACACCTTTCGCGAGCGAGAGATAGTCTTTAGTACAGATAAACAAAAGCAGTACCACAAAACAATTATTGTTACAATTAAGTACAATAATAAATGTTTCCATTTCAGCAATTGTGTTATCTTCGTAAAAGTATACCTTTACAATTACTTGAAATACTTTAAAACTTACAGCATCTCACGTTTGTTAGCTTCACTGATTGGTTATTCAAATGATTTAATAACAGTATCTAATCTTTTATTTCGGTAGTAAATTTAACAGTTGAATTGACGATTATATATATTGGGCAATAAAGTGAATTATGACAACGGCTCGCGTTACATTGTAACAGCGGTCAAGGTGGTGCGATAGTCAACAAAGATTTCAAAACCAAATGGTCTGTTAAAAGATCCTTTGGCTGTGTCAGCGTTAAGACATTTTTGGTGGTGCACACATTATTCGTTCGTCCCAAACTTGAGTAGTACGTAAAGCAACCAGCCCCTTCATTAAAAGACAGCGAGATGTTGAAGGTTCAAAATGCCCGCAAACAAGTTGATTCCCTGGATCTCAAATCTGAAGTATTAAGGAACACAAGTCAAATTAAACCTACTTCCTCCATCTTATGAGAATAACAGAAGAGACTTAGTAATAATTTTGAGATTGCATAATAGTAAATTCGAATCTGAAATGTCCTCACTTTTCTTGCCTTCCAAGGAAGGAATCGACGAGGACAGTCCGAAAGTGTTCACAAGCCTAAAAGAAATCGTTTTTCTGATCGAATTATTGACGAATGGAGAGACTTACCCCCAACAACTGTATGAAGCCCCACAGGTCGACACATGCAAGAGGAAGTTTGATCATCTGCAGAATCAACTATGCTAGGCCTAAAATTGTCATTTAACTTCCTATCTTCACTAACCTGAAAACGAGAACGAACTGAAACTTCCTCGTGTAGCAGACAACCTCATACTTAGCCCTATGATGCGCAAAACAAAAAGCGGCACATCTGGCTGCTGTAATGTGATATCACCTCTGCACAATATTTTTTATACTTTTATTTCGAATTTTGAAACTGTGGACGATTTCGTTGAATATCGGGGACTGTCTCTATTACTGAAATAGGATTTCTTCTTGGCATAGTTTTACGAAAGAAATTGTACGTTCAAAACTTTTCTCCATTTTTTTGAGCTGTTATAGTTTTTACTAAACAGAAAATCTGGAGGGTAAAATAGATTGATGCGAATTTAAGTAATAAAATATAAAAATGTACCTTTGCGACTGGATATCGATCGCTACACAACAAATGATGAAAAAGGTGGGTTTTATCTATAAGTTAATAACCAGTTGTAAAAGTTCAGTGAAACCAAAGATATAAAACAGAAATGTCATCACCCGGTTTCTTTTCTTTCTTGCTCACTTCATTAAACAGTAAGATAATTTCAAGGTTTCTTCGTATTTTAGCATTTTTGGTTCCAAACCAAACTGAACAACAGGATTATTCCACTACTACAGTTGTTTCGGAAATCACTAATATTCATTACAGACCACGTGAGCCAACTGAAATTCTCCTTTTAACGGAATGCATCGCCATACGCTCAATTATTAATATCACAGTGGAAGATGAGGTTTGTTATTTTTATCTGAAAACAATAGGTCATGATAAATATGCATCTAGTCTTAATGTGCTCTTTGTCTTTACCCGAGTGAACAACAATTCAATCAATTAAAGTAAACAACATTCTTACATGATTGATTTTCTGATACTAGTGTCCTGGTTATAACGCGATTAATAATACGATGTTAAACTAACGAAATTTGTGCCACAGGTTTACCGCTGTTCTATTGAGGACGAAGCGGTAAACGAATTAAGGATAAGCATCATTTTAGGAATAATAAGTTAAAGACAAAGTAGTGCTACAGTCATTTTTTTCATTTATTGGGAATCTGTAGTCGTTTTTCATTTTCTGTAAATAGACGGAGATAAATCTGTTATTCATCAGCCTGTAATATGTGGAACCTCTGTTTTTATACTTAGTTCCTATGGTTTATCTGACCTCTAAAACAACTAAACACAATTATCTTGAAGCCTACGTTATTAGTCACCTACACATTATAACATGTTTAAAAAACATGTAGAATCCTGGTTTAAGGAACAACCAATAAAGATATGTCGAAGTATTGGAAAAACTTCTGGTCGTTTCTCTTCAGCTGGAAGTCCTAAACAGTAAAACTCAACAGTATATTAAGTAATTGGTTTCAGATATGGGAAACTAAAAATGTTATGCTTTTGGAGATGAGACCTTTTATACATCTCAGTACCACTCACGCCTTGTTTGGTTTGCTTTGAGGCGTAATTACTTAATTCAGTGACTCTCATATTTAAGCAAGCTATCTTTTTATAGCGATAGGGTGTCTGTCAGATATCTTTCTTTGGTTCTCCTTTCCAGTTACTTTTATTATTTCGTGGTTTGATATCCACCTCTAATTTTTGAAATTATATATCCTTTGGTCTACCCCTTTTCTTTTTCCCTCACGGATTTCAAGTTGAAGATCGTCTTTTGATGCAGATTATCCTATTCAACACAAAGCAAATATATTTAAAAAGCACTTATCAGTTTTGTTTCTATCTTCCAATAAAACAGAACGACACACTTTGGTTTTAAAGCTTCGTTAGTACATTTTAACTAGTCTTAACGCTTTGAGATGTAGATGATAAAGCTTTAGAGATCCGTAGAGTTTCTGATAACCGTAATTTACTCAGAACTTTACGACATTTGATTGTATGAGTGCCACAACGATTGACATATACCATGAAATCCGCTATGTTATTTTTGAAACTGATTTTTAGATACTTAAAACCAAAAAAGTCACTTCTCGAAAATTTAAGCTGTCTAAACATTTCATTTTCAGTTGTTTCTTAACAGACTACCCTCAGAAATAACAAACAACGTTACATAATTGAGCCTTCTTTTTCTGTCTTTAATTTCATGAAGGAAAAAAACACAATTTCAAATATATTTCTCAACAGATCCTTCCAAAATAAGGTCATTGTGAATGGAACTTGTGAACCGACAAAACAGAAATCGATAGTTTCATGGTCTCCAGGTGACAATTTCTTTGACTGCAAACTTACGTTTGAGTTTGGAGAAGAATCTGAGAGATATGATCTGGAAAGCATAGGCATTACTTGTTTAACGAAAGAAGGTAATTAACAAATTTTTCTAAATCATAGCTATTTTCAATAATGTTAGTAGTGTTTTCCGTCAACCTCTCTCTTCCCCTGAAGACAAAAACAATTGAGGACTACGTTTTAAAAAATCCTTCATGAGATTGAAATACGTTTCAAATTTGGTTTCCCAAGGATAATATTATTACTGTGGCTATTAAGAAAATAAATATTTACTGTTTTCACTGAAGATGATCACAGATTTGTAGGCTAAGTGATGGACGCGAAGTAATATGTAACTTGCTATACTACTAATAACTACTTCACTCTAAATTTTTTATCAATTCAAATAAAATTCTACACTCTTTACTTGTACATTTTATTAGTTTATCATGATAACACTTACTCTATCAGAAGTTAAATGAAGTTAATCATTTTAAATACAATTTTACCATATAGGCACTGAAATTATTGCTCAAACAGATAGAGGTTTGTTTACTATTCCCGTCGGTGGATATTATGAATGTGCTAATCCGCTGGAAAGAGAACTAATCATGGAAGATAACGATAATATAAAAATCAATATCTATTTTTTAAATTCATCGATGGAAGCATTCAGACTTGAGGATCGGGCGGAATTTACGGGTCATGGTGAGTGTATAAATAGGAGGCATTTGACAGTATTGTATCAAGCTATTTTTCTTTGAAAGCTGTAGGTTCTTCCTTTAATTAAATAAACGTTTTGTATTCTCATGATTTACTTTACATAAGTAACATACATTTTTTTCATAGAATCTTGCATTTTATGAAAATCATGTTAAACTTGCTGGAGTTGTTCTTTAATGTCAGCACAACGACATAGTTGTCATAAATTTTACAGAAACGTTTGTGGTTACATTGGTTTACAATTAGACAATAAGTTAGATATTTTTATGAAACAGAATATTTATCTATTTGGCAAATCTTTTTTGTCCTGATGTTAAAAAACCATACAAACGTCAGAAATCTAATTTTCCCTTGACTAGGATACTAGAAATATATTAATATAACTATTATTATTAGAAGTAGTAGTAGTGGTAGAGTTAGTATTAGTACTAGTAGCATTATTATCATTATATCACTGTAAGCGTTACCTACTATTCATAAACCGGTTCAATTTTTCCCATGATTTATCAAGTTTATTAAAGAGGAAGTGAGATTTTCATCAAAATAAACTTGATCAACTTGGTTGTTAAAAGTGCAAAGCAAAGCAAAAAATAGAAAGGTTACATGGATTTTAACTCTGTTTACTATTGTGTCAGATCGGTTTTCTCACTTGTCTAGGTTCTACAACCACATACATTTGTGATCTTCCTATATATTTTTCCATTAGCTGTAACTCGACCTATTATATAGTCAGAGTGCATTGTCAATCGTATGAATTTTTCATTAAACATATTTAACCATTTAGAAATTCGGTAAATTTAAAAGAATAATGCTTTTTAGATACAAACTAACAAAACTTTGTGATAAAATGCTTATTATACTTTATACATTATTGTATGTTAAACCATTGTTTATCAATAGTTTAAGCCATGATATATAGAATGTTTTTATGTAACCATAGTAAAAAAATTACTATCTAAAATAGAAACTTCTAATAATGCTGTATTCCTTGAGCTGGATGATTAAAACAGTAGAACTTTCATATTTTTGATTAGATCTTCAATTATTAACCAGACTTGAATTAAGCTCAGATGATTTTGTCTAGAACAGTAATGAAACCACTACAACTAAGCAATCAATATTTAGGGAATTATTTTAGTATGATAATTCACAGATTATCTAATGAATAATATGTTTACATATTTTCAGTTATAGACTGTCCATTAAGCATTCCATGGTTCAATAAAGTTCCAACAGTTGTATGCATCACTTTACTTCTGATAGGCCTTACTGTTCTTTCAATATATTTATGCAGCCGTCTTAGCAAACGATTAACTTGATTACTCAATCAAATGATTATTTCTATGTTGCCTATATTATTTCCCAAACATAAAAAATGCTTATATGATAATTTTAGATTCGCCCATTATTTTCACTAATTTATCCTTAATTCATTTCTATCGTCAAATGTAATTTCATTTTTATCTCTTCCTTTCATTGAATGATTCATTGTTTTGTGAGAAAATAGCACGGACATCATTAACTTCTCTTCCATTTTGAAAAAAATTCATTAAAACAAATCAAGTAGTCCAAACTAATGATAAAAAAAAGATCTATGAACTTTGTTATTCTATCATACGATACACTATTTGCCGAATAAATGGTATTTTTGAAATTATTATAAATGATATCAATATTATCATTTGTATTACACGGTTTTCTGTTTAATATTATTTTCCTCATTAATTAATCTATTGTAAGTCATTAATTAAATAGATTTTGTAAATAATAATAATAAACTTCTTCTTCGTTATTGTTTCTGCTACTATAACACACAACAAATACATGCTCATTAAGAATTCAAAACAATTAAAACAAAATGTGAATACTTGGTAAAAAAAAAAAAATTGAATGTAAATTTATTACTACGTTTGGTTGAAATATTAAAAAAAAACTCAACGTTTCTTATTATAATGAAAACATTTTCAGCTGAAAAAAAATCTAGTATATGATAGATATTATGACGTAGAGAAATATTATATTTAGTAATAATGATGATTCTTAAGTCAGTCATATATATATGTAGCATGGTAAAAACCTGTTAAAATTTATATGTTTACATTTGCAACCGGAATATATCTTTTATTCGACAATGGAAATAAAGAATCATAAAAAAATCATTCCTCTGTCTCAGCATGTATACTTGTAATTTATTTAATTTTTACCTCATTCTGTCAATAACCAAGACAATATATTTTACTAACTAATTTATTTTAAAAGTTCATCTAACCAGAAAAATCTCTAACTACATTTAGTTTCATTAAATTAGCCACACATTAAAACAGTTAGTCGTTTTGATAAATTTAAATAATCCGATGATAAGACGGTAGTTATCAGAATTATGTGATATAGTGGTGGTGTATCGTTCTCTGAGCAAGATGTTTTGGTTGTGGAGCTTTCATTGTTCTTCTGAACAGTATCATTAGCAAAAACTTATATTATATGATATATTTGCTCAGTACATTTCAAACTATCTGGTCACACATTTACACACATATATTATGAAAAATATAAGAGGTCAACTGAACAAATTAAAAGATAAGAGAAAGATACAATAATAAAGTAAGTACTGTGAAAACCATTCAGGAGAATAAATTAGTATTACGAAGGTAGGTTAAGGATAAGAACCAATCGTTTTTGAACACATAAATGAGATTTCAATATTTGCATAGCTAGGGCTTCAATAAACCCTAGTAAACTTCCTTGAACAATACAAAGGTTCACCTGATATCTCAGCCATATATTTCGCAATTGAGGAAGATATCTGTCTATCCTGTGATCTTATTTAACAATTGGAAGTAATTTGTTTTTGTAGTCAGTTAGGTAAATGTTCAGCCACCCTTACTAGTCGATCGCGATTTCTCCTCTCTATGTACACGTTTCGGCATGTACGTGCTAATTGGCAGATACAATGGGATGTAACACAATCGCTTACATTCTATTTCAGTCTGTGGTGAAACACAGACCCTGAATTTCCGAGAGTGATCAACTGGACTATATAAAATGTCTTAATGACATATATATATATGCTTTTGCATATTGAAAACTTGATAGGTCTCATCATATTGGTGCCTTTCTAACGGTTTATAAACTTCGATGAATAACTGTTATTCATCAGTTTTTCGGTTAACAGCTTCACATCTACCTACATAGGATCGCTAATGCAAATAATATTGGTCCTATTGGATAAGTCCTTCATTAATCCACGTATGCACTGGACTGGAAAGTGGCTATGTAGACCAAGATATTGCTCTGTCCATATTAGTTTAATATGTACAGAATGTTTGATGGAACTACCTTCTCTTATACTAACTTATGAATAGGATGTTATGCACGTACTGCTCATATGGAGGACACATAATCTGAATGAAGTTTTCAACCAGATTTCCCACGTGTGCCATAAATATCTCAGCTAGTACTAATCCTAAAGGATTCGTACGCCATCACCCTACATAAAAGTGAATCTCGGATTGTTAGTACATAATTTTTAAAAAATCTCTGAAATTATTAATAGTGGTAACCAAATGACTACGTTGGTATCAGATCTGTTCTTTGAATACTGTAAAATAATTGAGGGAAGTTGCTGTGCGACTCATATAGGAAATTGCTTTTTTGAAACCATATAAGAACCAGGAGCTTCGATTCACAATCTTGTTTTGCTGCGTGCAAGTGAAACAAATCTGTCTACTGTACTGTAGATCAAACTATGCTCTAACTTTTTTACAGCATATAAAATAATTTAGCCATACAAAAAATTAGTGGTAGTACTCATTATTTCAAGAATGATTGTAATGAAGAGTAAATCTTCTGTCAAGTGAATAGCACAATAGTGAAGCTTTTCCTCTTAAAAAGCAGATAGAATAATTTAGGATGATGCTGTTCTGCTTTTTACAGTACTTGAGTGTCTTTAGATTTTTAGGAATTAAGTTGGTCCAACTGAAAATCTCAACTCAAACTATTTTCTCTGTATATAAAGCAATGGTTTAGTAATTATGATCATCATAAACATATGCAGCAGAACCATGCCAAATACAAAGAAGTTACGTATTAATCAATAAAAATACGATTGAAATTACAATCAACAATTCTGTACATTTATTGTTATAATTTGAAAGCGGTATGAACACAAGAAAAATCTACTTATTCATTTAAGTCAATATTATTGTCATCAACAAATTACCTGGAAAAACGATACTTAAACGATGGTTGCTATTATCAATAGTACTATAATCTATTGAGTGAAGCATGCTGTATGACAAACGTTCAAGATAACTTAGCAAGATTGCCTTGAATAAATACAATCTGTCTAATTTTGTTATCATTTCGGTTAATTATATGACTGAACAAAGTATAGTTTCTCATTCAATAAAATAAAAACGGTATTTCATGCAGATGATTCCTGCAAGTCCACTTTATAAGCAAGCAATTATCCGAATTTTGTGAACTGCAGATCAGCGTGCAACAGAGAAAAATTCATTTATTATTTTCACTATCTCAAGAGATCCACCTGGTCTCGTATGATCTGTGTTATCAAAGTCCATAATATTATCACGATTAACTTTATGCATCTCAAGAACTTTCTGAGTTTCCTCCAAGTTTTCTCAGTAACCCTACTCATTCGTTTCGCATATTTATTGAATGGGTGCATATAAAAATCAGCCAATAACGACCGATGCGGACTAATTTTATTACAAAATAAGGGATTAATATCTGATCTTGTGTATGTAACTGAAATCATGTGTTTTCTCTTGGCTAATTAGCGCTTTTCTTTCTGTTATTATTCAACAGACATAAATACCAAATGAGACATAACCCAAAGACTTAAATCTAAGCAGAAATCCATCAAATAAATATTACTCAATAAAGTAATGAGTTTGCGTGCACTAACATGAATGATTCACCACGGTAAATATGCAAACGTTTATGTTGTCACTTTGCAGTTTGGAGTCATTATTACAGAAAGTCGAAGTTAACTGATCACTACTTCTTATTATTCATAATCTTGAAGTATGTTACAATTTTGATGCTCTTTATTGAAACCGCGATTTATTTTAAGAACGTGTTACTTATTGAGAAGTTCAAATAAAGCTTTTGAACACCCTTTTCTTTCATTATCCCTTCAAAAAAGTTTGATCTATATCTTAAAAAAATTAAGTTGATCAGTGGACTAGTAGATAACAACGATTACTGCTAATCGACCCAATCTCTTTACAAACTGACCAGTTAACGTAAATTAATTAAAAATCCCAAAACATTTAAATAATCAATCATTAGATTATTAAGTGATCTTGTAAAGATTAGAAGTTAACTGTAACTTAATTAGAAATTCGATTAATGATATAAGTCGTTCTTGAGAGTAATAAGTATTTTCGATATAATGAAAAGCTTAACTGATAGTGATCCTCAAAAGTATTTGAATTATTTTATCAAGATATAATATTATGTGTTATACTACTTATTTAATTCGATAGTTTGTGGCTGCCTCCATTCATCATAAAGTGGTATAATCGCGGTTATTTCCAGTTATTTCCAATCAACTGATGACATAGAAGTCTAACACAAGTTACAAATAAAAACACATAAAATGGTATAAGATCAAAGTTTATATTTTATCTTGTATTCATATTATCTTGAAGAATAACGGTATTTTTTATTGCCATGTGCACAATTATTGAAGATTTTCGGCCATATAATCAGACTCATGATTGTTGTTACAGGAGTTTAGGATGAAATCTAAAGTTCATCGATTAATGACATGCAACTTGTTAATAACTATATAACAACCGATCGTACTGGCCACCAGTTGATAAAATTAACGAGTAGGAACGGGCATGAACGATTCCTGAAACGATGATAGGAAATTTATTAGAAATCCAGGGGAAAATTGTACAAAACAAATAGATACGAATTACGCAACACATTTACAGGTTTTTTAGGTGGCGCTATACTTAATGGATAGATGAAACTTTGAGTTTTAAAGTCGATGAATTAAACACTGATTAATATAATGTGACCAAGTAAAGTCTTTTCACAAAGCTGCATAAATAACTTGGACTGCCGAATGATTAAAATTCAAGGATAACGCCACGAGTCAGATAAATAGTTTTTCGTGTAAGAAAACGGCTCTCTTGTATACAAAATTTGAACACAAAATAGAAACGATACAATGTTTTAGGTGACTGGAGGGAATTAGCTTCTTGGTCATTCATTCTCTGATTAATTAAGACCTGAATTTTAGATCTACTCTTTCGATACTGTAGCACCGTCAAATTTACAATAGTACCTCCTTGACTCGCTGATGCTAGTTCACGATGAAAACCCCAGCCATAATTCACAATTCTTAATGCTAAACTTATGGCTTTCTATCCAATATTTTGAATGCTTTAGACGAAAAGTTTCATTAATCATATCGAAACTCAGTATCCCTTGTAGTTTTAATATTTATTTCATTACTAAATACTTTTCTTGCTTGGCCTAAAATCAGTTTAGTGTTTTCTATAGTTTAACCTCCGCTAGTACACAGCGTAAGTTTTTCATTAGATATCTATAAAACTCTCATTTACTATTTACACAATGCCGAAAGTTTTAATGAATGATAGTTTATTAGTGCAAAATGCCATTTAAATAATGATTAAATTGCATGTCAGATAAGTTAAATTAAATGTTTTGAATGATTTATTCTAGTTAGCATTTTCTTTAGCAAGTTAGTTTTCCATGAAATGGG